GAGCGGGGCAGACTGACCTGGGACGTGACGCGGTAGGGAGCGGGGGGACTGACCTGGGATGTGATGCGGTAGGTAGCGGGGGGGATTCACCTGGGATGTGACGCGGTAGGGAGCGGGGGGACTGACCTGGGATTTGACGCAGTAGGGAGCGGGGCGGACTAACCTGGGATGTGAGGCGGTAGGGAGTGGGGAGGACTGACCTGGGACGTGACGCAGTAGGGAGCGGGGCGGACTGATGTGGGAATGTGTCTAGTTTTACTGGGACTGTCTGCATGGGGGATGGCATAGCAGGGGATGACTTTATTTGAGGGATGATATCTGAGCCTGTAACCTGAGCTGGGAGGGGGATGGGGCCAGGTGACACCTTTGCCCGGGAAACTGGACAAAGGCTGGAGGAGGAGCCGGGGGCTGCAGGGGAGTTTCAGTTTGAAGCTGGCTGGGAAAATGAAGGGAAACCCCAGGGTTGGGGTCCAAGCTCCCTGCCCCCCCCCGCCCTCCCAGAGGGACCTGGCTGAGGGGTCCTGGTTGTACCTACAAGCTCTGCTTGGGACTGTGTTCCTGTCGTCTAATAAACCTTCTGTTTTACTGGCTCGCTGAGAGTCACGGTGAATCATTGGAAGAGGGGGGTGCAGGACCCTGACTTCCCCCAATCCATGACAACTGGTGGCAGCGGTGTGATCTACTGCACCCCATGGATGACGCTTCCTGAAGTAAGTGACTGGGAAGCAGTAAAACGAAGTGGGATTGATGGGGACCAGGCGTGCTGAAGATTCAGCGAGGAGTGGGGAGCAGAGGAGCTATGCTTAACCCCTGAGCGGTGGTGACCTGGAGAAGGGCTGGCACACAAGGGGTCCCCCCTGGAAACCGTGGGAAGCGGCGAGCACCCGGGCCTGCGAGGGGCCAGCAAGGAGGTGTATAGCAAGTGCCTTAAGAGCGACCTGGTGGCAGCAGGAACTCATGAAGGAGCGAGCAGAATGGGAGAAACAAAGACAGCATGAAAAAAAACAGAGACAGCATCAAAAGTGACAGAGACAGCATGAGCTGGAGTTGGCCAAGCTGAGGAGCAGCGCGCCCCCGGCTGCGGTGACTGAGTGGGGACCCAGGACTGCATGGAGATGTAATAAGGGCGTCCTGGCCCGGCGTAAGGAACGGGAGGACATAGATGACTTCCTAAATGCCTTTGAGACGGCCTGCGAGCTGCACAGGGTTGACCCGGCAGACAGGCTCCAGTTTCTCATCCCCGTACTGGACCCCAAAGCCATGGCGATGTACAGCCGAATGAAAGGGGCGGAGGCAGGGGACTATGAACTGTTCAAAAAGGCCCTGCTACGTGAGTTTGGGCTGACTCCCAAGATGTACCAGAGTGAGCGTAAACCCCCTGAGGTCACATATCTAGAACTGGCCCTCTGGATGCAGGGATATGCCCACAAGTGGGCAGATGGGGCCCAACTAGGGAGGACGTGCTTAACCTAATGGTACTGGAGAAACAGTATGAACAGTGCCCATCCAACCTGAAGCTATGGTTGATGGACAAAAAGCCAGAGGACCCACGATGTGCAGGGCAGCTAGCCGACGAGTTTGTGAACAGCCGGTCAGGGGGTGGCAGGGAGAAGTCCCAAAGGAACAGGTCCACCATGATGCAGAGAGAAAATCACCCTGGGACCTCCCAAAGGGGGAACATAGAAAACCCCCTCCCAAGGGGAACATCCGGCGTCAGGACCGGCTCGAGGGGACCAACGGGACATGAGCTGCTATTACTGTGGCCAGAGAGGCCACATACGGACCCAGTGTCCCAAGCTCAAGGACAGAGTGAGCAGACCGAACCCACACAGGGTTAACTGGGTAGGGACCCATGTGGATGAGGGGCCGGCTTCCCAGGCAAGGGGGGCTGACAGCTTCCCAACTGCTCAGGAGGGAGGAGTGCCCCAGGCCAGCTTCTCTGGGGAGCTGGATGGTTCTCGGTTTACAGGGTGGGCGCGAGGCTTTCCCTGTGGAGCAAGTGCCTTGTTCCCCTGAAGGTGGATGGGAGGAAGGTCAATGGATACTGGGACACGGGCGCTGAGGTGACACTGGCCCAGCCCAAGGTGGTGGCTCCAGATCGGGTGATGCCCAACAGCTACCTGACCCTGATGGGGGTGGGCGGGACCCCATTCAAGGTGCCCGTGGCGAGGGTACATCTGAAATGGGGGGCCAAGAAGGGCTCCAAGGTTGTGGGGGTGCACCACCATTTGCCCACTGAGGTGTTGATGGGGAGGACCTAGAGAACTGGCCAAGCAACCCCCAGACCGCCCTAGTCATGACCCATAGCTAGAGCCGGCAAGGGGCATGACGCCCTGAACGCGGGAAGGATATCACACTGGAGACACAGAACCCTACCCTGGTGGGGAGGAAGCGACCAGGAACAAGGCTCAGAGTGGCTGCAGCTTCCGACCCAGCCGGCGAGAGGGAGCAGGTCCCCATCCCTTCCCCAGCCGCTGAGTTCCAGGCCGAGATGCAGAAAAATCCCTCCTTGTGGAAGCTAAGGGACCTGGCCAACCTCAGTGCGGTACAGACCATGGGGAGAGGTTGCAAGGCGAGGTTCCTGTGGAAAAAGGGATTCCTATACCAAGAGTGGGCTCCCCCAGGGGAGATGGAGTCATGGGGGATCAGGAGGCGGCTGGTGGTACCCCAGATGTATCGCTGCAAGCTACTGTACCTGGCCCATGACATCCCTCTCGCAGGGCACCAGGGGATCCGGCGCACCAGGCAAAGGCTGCTATAGAACGTTTACTGGCCTGAGGTCTTTACTACTGTCCAACAGTATTGCCGATCCTGTGACCCCTGTCAGAGGGTGGAAAAGGCCCGGGACAAGGGGAAAGCAGCTTTGAGAGCCTTGCCCATCGTAAAGGAGCCTTTCCAGAAGGTGGCTATGAACCTAGTGGGCCCTCTCAGCAAAACAACCCGGTTGGGGAAGAAATACATTCTGGTGGTGGTAGATTATGCCACCCACTACCAAGGTGGTAGATTTTGCCACCCACTACCCTTATCATCCATTAAAGCAAACACCGTGGCAGATGCACTGCTAACCATTTGCAGCCCAGTGAAGTTCCCCAAGGAAGTCTTGACAGACCAAGCGTCCAACTTCATGTCGGCCCTACTCAGGTGCTTGTGGGAGAAATGTGGGGTCCGGCACACCTGGGTCTCAGCGTATCACCCCCAATCCAACGGACTGGTGGAGAGGTTCAATGGAATGCTAAAGATGATGCTAAAAACTTTATGAACCAGCACCTGCAGGATTGGGACAAGTACTTACCTCACCTGCTGTTCGCGTACAGGGAAGTACCCAGGAGTCTACCGGGTTTTCGCCTTTCAAACTGTTATATAGCAGGAGGGTAAGTGGGCCACTAGATCTGATAAAAGACAAATGGAAGGGAAAGGCCACTCACGATGAAAAGTCAGTGGTGAAATATGTCCTAACCTTCCAGAAAACACTTGCTAAGCTCATGGGCCTGGCCAGGAAAAATCTGGCCAGAGCCCAGAGGAAGGAAAAGGTCTGGTATGATCACACGGCTCAGGCCTGCGCCTACACCATCGGGAATCAGGTGATGGTTCTCATCCCCGTGAGGAAAAACAAACTACAGGCCACCTGGGAAGGTCCCTTCAAGGTTGTCAAGCAACTAAATGAGGTAAACTATGTGGTGGAGCTGTCGAACCGGGCACACCACCGCCGGGCATACCATGTGAATACAATGAAGCCATATTATAACAGGGGAACTGTGGTGTTGGCCATGTGTGGACATTGGGAGGTGCAGGGAGATGACCCTTTAGTAAATCTGGTCCCTGGAACAAGAGCTGGCTCCCCCCTGGAAACAATTCCCCTCTCTGATCGGCTAACCCCTGCCCAGCAAGCTGAGATCGGAGGGGTGCTGCATCTGTACCAACAGCTGTTTTCCAACCAGCCTGGACGCACTA